GAATTTAATCATCTGAGCATTATGTGATATACGAGCTCTTTTTTTTGTCTTTAAAATGACAATTATTCAGCGCCATCTATCGGAAACTAAACTGGCATTTATTTTCAATTAAAAATTATTTAATTTATTTTCTTTGATCATTTCTAATAGAAACTAAATTAAAATAGAATAAAATTATTTCATCTAGCTCTTATTTATATTTTTTCATTGGTTGTATAAAAACAGCCATAGAAATACTGTACCTAATTGATTATTCATCTTTCTTAAGGCAATAATCTACATGCATACTAGAGACATACTCGGATCGGATCGAAAAGAAAACAAATTTTTTAATATTTTCCTGTTCCTATTGTTTGAGTTCCATAAATTTCTGTTCGTTTTTCTTCATAATACATACATTTTAGAATAAATATCAATGGAAGGACATAAAATAAAAACCAAATCAAAATTCAAAGTACGCCATCAAAAACATAAAGTATTTCGTGCCAATGATCCATTACTTTCTGTACTTATGTGGGGTGTTAATTTCACCGTACGTATATATATATATTTAAAAATAAAATCATCGAAAAAAAATTAATTTTATTCAGATTCATGAATTGGAAAATGTCAATATTCCAGTTATGCTTTTACCTGAACATTTCAAAGCGAATGTAAAAATTCGTATTGACAATCAGAATTTTAATAAGTACGTAGATAACAAAAAATTTTAATATATGTTGTAAATCACCATTCTATTTTTATCTTTGATAAATACATTCCGAAAGGAAGGATAATTTTCTCATTATGAAATTATATAGATATATAAATACATCAAAGATATAATTAAAAAATTGAAATTTTAAAAGTGGGAGGGGATAAAATTTTGCCAGAAAGTGCTGTTATATAATTTTCTGACACACAACGAATTTTGCCTGAAAAAAGTGTTTTTGGCAAAAAAATGGTGAAAAGAGCATAAAAAATAAAGTTTTTATCCAAGTGTACAGCAGAAAGACAAATAGGTTCTCGAATTTTGGGGCGGGCTAGACCCCTCCTCAGCCCTTGTTTTCATAAATGGAAAAATATCTTTGTACTTTGGAATGTGAACTATGTTAGTTAGTCATAAGCATCAATTTAGTTTTTATACAAATTAAATGATTTTTGTTTTTTTTAATTAGGGAAGTTATGCCAAGTCATTTTAAAGTAAAAGAATATTGTCCACTTGTATTTCGAGCTTTTCGAGAATATTGGAAAGTACATGATAATAGTTTTCGAGTAAGTTAATTTATTTGATATTTCTTTTTATATAACAAAAAAAATAAATTTATTTATTAGGATTCTCTTACAGAACCACCTATACCTTTAAATGAATCAATTAAATCAAATATAACATATTATCAATCATATGATCGTCGTTTTGTTCTTAAATGTATTTCAAAAGAAGATGTCGAACAAATTCATAATATTTTACCAGAATATCATAGGGTATGTATTTTAATTCGATATGAGATCAGTATTTTATCTAGATTTTTTCTTTCGAGAGTGCGATACCGATTTCCGGGAGGGCGAAAACCTAATTTCTGGAAGAAAAATACACAGTATAAGCACAAAAATTGCAATTTTAGGGAGGGCGCCGCCATCCTTGCCCTCCCTCTAGATAAATCACTGTATGAGATGAACAAAACATTACGACCTAAAGATTTATAGGAAATCCCCAACTGCTATTTAATCAATTATGATTCACTCGAAATTAAAAAAAAATCTATATTTTACTTAGTTGGACTAAAAAACAAAGCATTCAATTTTTTGAACAATAAATATTTAATCTTGTTGTCGTCTTCTATCTTAACTAATTAATACAATGCATTTATCAAAATTCATATAGAAACAGGAAAAGACATGTAATTACATCCGCCTTCTTTTGTTTCTTTTTAGCGAACCAAATATGATTTAACCATATAAACTCTTATAGAGTCTTACATATCCTATATAGTATCACGCAATATATATATATATATATACAATCGAGAGTGTTAATGCCCAGAGGCAACCCTTTTAGTATTAATCAAAAGAAAACTATTGCAATATTCATCATGTGATAATTTCGTCTGAGTTTTTCTATTTATTAGATAAAACGCTTAAAATGATCGGAAATGAGACTATCATGTAGAATTGAAATTCGAAGAATATATATATATTTTTTCCTCTGACGATCCCGATCTAATCATTGCAAGTTTAAAGATTACGATGTTAATTCGATCGGTTATATCTCTAGTATTTTGTTTATGTTACGAACGGGAAAAATTCTTCATTTTCGAATTGGGATTATATCGGTCTTAATATCAGTGGCGGATTTAGGGGAGGGGCCATCGCCCCCCCTCCGAATTTTTTTTTTGATTTTTTACAACAAAAATAGATTCAAACTACTTCGATTGGACTCAAAAAATAGCTTTTAGCCAAAATCGCCCCCCTCCCCTTCCAAAATCCTAGATCCGTCACTGCTTACTATTAACATGAATTTTGACTTCTCAATTATTTCTATCGAAGTACCGAATTTTACAAGAACAACAACATACTATAGTGAAAATAAATAAGGAAAAGCTGCTAGCTATTTTAAGACAGATTGATAATGACGCTTAAATACTTGATCATACTCAAAATTCGAAATGTCATGAATTGTTTGAAGTTTATTCCCTGATGAATTTAGATAATATTAATTGAAATTGACATGCTTTTGATGCACATCGATAATGGACTTAAATTAGATTTAATAGATCTTAAAATAAAGTTTAATTTTGTTGAAGTGTAACAATAGTGTGGAAAGTACATTATTATTCTAGTTGTATTTTATAGATCTTAAATATTTACAGTAAAGAATACTGATTAAAAGAATTGAAGCATCTCAACAAACAATAATATACAGATGTAGGTTCTTGACAAAAATTGTTATCGTCTATTTATAGACATATTCCGTTAACTCATAAGTATTCAATCATTTCGAAGAACTTCTTTCATAAGTAGAGCCAATCAAACTTAGTTTCTGAATAGAAATAAAACACTCAATAAATCAAGGTCATTCATATTTTTCAATTTATTTTAGTATATTGTCGAAACTCAAGGTGATACATTACTTCCTCATTATTATGCGATGTACAGATTAACCGTTGATGATAAAGAAAATTATATCTTGGTTATGCGGAATATATTATCAAGTAAATTAAAAATTCATTTTAAATATGATGTTAAGGTAAAAACAAATAAATCGAAATATATTTTTTTATTCATACTAAATTAATGTTCAGGGTTCAACTGTTGATCGAAGTGCAACCGATAAGGAAAAATTAAATCCATGTCCAACATTAAAAGATAATGATTTTTTAGAAAAAAAACGTATTATTGAATTAGGTCCTGATCAAAAACATATTTTTATGGAGAGACTTAAACGTGATGTTAATGTAAATAGAAATTAAATTCTAAATTCAGAATAATCACACTTATTATTTTAGTTTCTTGCTACTCAACATAAAATGGATTATTCATTACTTATTGGTATACATGATCTTGATCAAGGTGGTGTCGGTAAGAATTTAATTTATATAACAATATGAAAAACACTTATTTTCTTAGGACGTGAACGAAAATTGTCCGGTATAGATATGAATACATCGGATTTATCTGGAAATGATTCATCAGATGGATCTGGTAAATCAAATTTTTGATAATAAAATTGAAATTGAATATTTTTCTTTTGTAGAAAGTCCTACACATATAGGTGATGATATTTCTTTTGATGAACCATTTCGAATGCGAAGTTCTGAATGTAAATTAAGAAAAAAAATTTTTTTAATTTTATATTTATTTTTTTTGTTTAAAGCATCAACACGTCGAGAATTTTATAATCTTGGTATAATTGATATATTAAAAAATTATGGTATGAAAAAAAAGAGTGCACATGTAGCAAAAACAAAATTATCAGGTTCAGATGCCGATGGAATATCAACTGTTCGACCAGAAATATATGCGCGACGTTTTTTAGAATTTATTGATAAACATTTTATTTGAGATTTTTCGTCTTCTTCTTCTTCTTTTTTGTTTTTGTATTTTATATTTGCAATAGTGCCCTTTTCTTTTTTGTTCGTACAGTGTGTTTGAATGTTTAAATTCCGGTTGTTTGTATGTCTTGTTCATTTATTTGTTTTATTATGACCGGAGAATTACTACTGTTTAACATGCATGCGCGCGAGTAGTTCTAGTCATGTGTAACTCTTTATTAAACTCGAGTTTTCTTTGTTTTCCTTATTTCTATTCAGTTATGTATCGCTGTGGTTAATTGAATATATATTCGATGTTTTATGTGAAAGCGCTAGCGCCTTTCTATTTCTGTCTTCTTTACATTTATGGCTAGTTCGATGTTTTCTGATGGATTGAAAACTTAAATATACGTATATATATATATTTATAACATTATATATTAATCTTTTAAAACTATTTTCTATATTTATGGGTTGTTATGAAATAGTTCTTCGCTGAATAGACAATAGACGAACTTTGAGTAATAGGGAAATGCGTTAAACTTGCCACTCTGGTACTAGATAATGATCTTACTTAGGACAATGGAATCAATACTCGAATCATATTGTTAATGAGTCCTTAGGGTATGAAGTGGCAAGTGACTAGCTTTATTGTCTCTGTAAAAATGCTCGATTCTTCTTACAATTTTAAACTGTTACGAGTATTTATGATATAGTTGAGCAAGAACGTAATATTAATAAAAAGCATATTTTTTCTCTTGCGTTCTCCGTGAAAGTGGCGCATTTTTTCGTTCGAAAAGTACGAAGAAGTACAGCATATACCACTTATCGCGTAAATAAATAACCATTGACATCACACACTTTCACAGTCAGATACTTGTATCAACATTTATACAGTCATTTACTAATTCCTATATAGTTATCTAAAGATATATTATAACAAGTTGTTATTCATAGAATTCTTTTTGATATTTTAGTAAAAGATCAAATATGATTCCGTTTGTTGTCGATTTGGAAGATGAACGTGCCATTGAATTAGAATTAGTTGGTGGTAAAGGAGTAAATTTAGCGATATTATATCAACAAAAATTCTGTGTTCCTAATGCTTTTATCATTACAACTCATGTCTATGAATCTATTCTTAATAATCCGGAAATAAAAAATGCTTTATCAACAATCGATAATCTTAATATTGATAATATAGCTGAATTAGAAAATATTAGTAATCATATTAAAACTATAATTTGTAATATAACTTTACCAAATGATATAATCGATTTAATATTTAAATATTATGATAAATTATCCCAGGGAGCTAATAATACAAATCTTCATGTTGCTGTACGAAGTAGTGCTACAGCTGAAGATTTACCTGAAAATTCTTTTGCTGGACAACAAGATACATATTTACATGTAACAAAAGAAAGTTTAATTGAAAAAATTCAAGAATGTTGGGCCTCATTATTTACTGCTCGTGCTATATCATATAGAAAGAAATCAAATATTAATTATAAAATAATTCAACTCGCAGTAATTATTCAAGAAATGATTTCTAGTGAAGTTTCAGGTGTTGCATTTACAGCTAATCCTATAACAGGTTTTCGTAATGAAGTTATTATTGATTCAACATATGGATTAGGTGAAGCATTAGTATCAGGTTTAATTACACCAGATCATTATGAAATATTAACTGAAAATAATGAAATACGTCGAAAAATTATTGGTGAAAAATCTCTTCGTATTATTGGTAAAAAAAATGGTGGTATTGAAACATTAATAACTAACGATAATGAAAGAGAATTAGAAGCATTATCTGATAAATATATTATTCAACTTAGTAAATTAGTTAAAGAAATTGAAAAAATTTATAATCATCAACCACAAGATATCGAATGGTGCTTTATGAAGGAAAATTTTTATATTTTACAAGTTCGACCGATAACAACTTTATTTCCAATACCACCCTATGCGTTTAATCAATCAGGTTTACGATGTATGATATCATTCGGTACTATTCAAGGATTTCTTGAACCTATAACACCATTCGGTGAAAGTACTGTACGTACATTACTTGGTCATTTCTTACGAAAAGTTGGTATTAATCGAAATACAACAACTGAAGATGATATATCTTCTAATCCATTACAACATAAAATATTTAAATCATCAAGAAATCGTTTATGGATTGATATAACTGGTATATTAACATCACCAATTCGAAGTATATTTAGTCTATCGATGATTGATACTGGAATGGATAAAATTATAAATCATATAAAATATTCCAAATCATTTCCAATAAAATCAATGTTTAAAACTTATATCTATTTAATGTTATTTATTATTCCTCTTATATTTAGATCAATACGAAATTTTATATTTCCTCGTTATGGAAAAAAATTATATATGGATCAGATGAATAAATATCATGAGTTTATTGATCGAGGTTTTAAAGATGAATACAATCAAAATTTTACGAATTGTGTTCAACATTTTCAAAGAATTTTATCGATATTGCCGTTACGTTTAATGCATTATGGTGCTAGTTGTGTTGTTCCTGCGATTATCTCGTTGAAAATATTACAAAAATTAAGTAAAAATCCAATGGATGCACTTGCCTTAACACGTGCTGTTGAATCAAATCCAACAACCGAAATGAATCTTATCTTATGGAAAATAACTATTTTAATACGAGAAAATGATCATATTTTAAAATTATTTCAAAATGAATCAACAATAAATTTAGTAAAAATGTACAAAGAGAAATTATTTGAGAAAAATATTCAATTCGAAATCGAAGAATTTTTTCATATTTATGGTTGTCGTGGTATTGGTGAAATTGATATTGGTCGTAAACGATGGTCTGATGAACCACAAATAATTCTAGAACAAATAAAAAATTATTTGAAAATTCTTAATCCTATTGATAAAATTCATGAACAAAGTAAACAAAGTGCGTATGAAGCATTGACTCGTATTGAAAATCATTTAAAATGGTCATTTATTCAACGACCATTGATAAATTTATTATTTAATCGTTTAAAAATCTTATTTTCATTACGAGAATCACCGAAATTTCATGGTATTATTCAAACATTTGGTAAATGTCGAAAAGAACTTTTATCTAAAGCACAATTAGCAGTTAACGAAAAATTTATTTTACATAGTGATGATATTTGTTTTTTATATATTGATGAATTACAATTATTAGCTTATGATACGGATCATAAACAATATACGAAAAGAAATTATTGGAAAAATTTAATAGAACAACGTCAAATAGAATATAAGCAGCAAATGTCTTGTAAACGTATACCATTAATATTAATGTCTGATGGAACAACATATTATGATGCTAGCACGATACCAGATGATAATAAAGATCGTGTTGAATTAATGGAAGGAGAATTTCTTGGTAGTCCAGTATCTCCAGGTATATACGAAGGAAAAGTACGAATAGTTAATGATCCAATAAATTCTGAATTGCAATCTGGAGAAATATTAGTTTGTACTGCTACTGATCCAGCATGGACAACATTATTTCCAATTGCTGGTGCGTTAGTTTTAGAAATGGGTGGGATGCTTCAACATGGTGCTATAGTTTCAAGAGAATATGGTTTACCGGCTGTTGTTGGTGTATCGAATGCTAAAAATATATTTCATAATGGTCAATTTATTCAAGTGAATGGATCCAATGGACGAATTAAAATTTTATCGGATTAATAAGTTTATGATATATCGATATACATAATTATAGATGTAATATTACACTTCATATTTTGAGTATTTAATAAAATATTAATATACTGTAAGAATTGTTTCCTATGAATCATATAATTAGTCATCCTAAAATTGAAAGACTGCTTTTGGTAACTATAGAACATGTTGACTCATTCATTCCTAACAAATCTCAAGCATGAAAGAAATGTGGTAATGTTTGATTCTTGTTTCCAAGGAAAAGAAAAGATTTACTTCTTTTTCTTTCCCTTCTCTCTAGCAGGTAAGCCGGAGTACATTCAATGAATCATTTCATTAATATAATGTATGTTTGTCTTACATTGACAAGTTCCATATAAAAAAAGACGTAACAGCATAGTTGTTATACAAACACTTTTCTTATCGAAATGTTTCAATAGGTAAGAGGAATGAATGAAACAAAAAATTCTCTATATATTTTATTCAATTTCAAGGTTTTTCTATATGATTTTAATTAATCTGATTTTATTTCTTCAATTGGTAAAGTATAAAATACCGAAGACAAAAAACTCATACATTAAGAAAATTATTTTTAGACATTAGTAATTAGTTTAATATCATGGAAGAATTGTAATAGTAAAACAAATGATATTAAACTAATAAATCTTACAGTAAGTCCTGATCCAATTATAGTTCCAGGATTAGTTTCAATAACGATTACTATATATACTCATCAAAATTTCACAAGTCCAGTAAAGGTATTTATATTGATTACACGCAAAATGGATAACCTTGAAATTTATTCATATAGGCAGTTTTATCATTAGAGAAAAAAATTCTAATCGGTTATTTTCCGGTGCCATGTTTCAGCATCGGTTCATGTACATATGAAGATCTTTGTACTCTATGTACAAAATGTAATTGTTCGATGGGAACTGTAAGTATACATATAAAAAACAAATTTTTTCGTATTTATAATTATTCTTTTTTTCTAGGGAGAACATACATTTAATCTACCGATTACAATTGATTCTAGTTCATGGATGCTTTCTGGAAATTATCAAGCACAAATTAATTTAGAAACTAGTACAAAACAAAAAGGTTGTGTTAAAAT